AGGGCCTCGCTCTAGGGTTTTGGGCTTTTTTGGGGGGTTTTAGGGGGTTTGGGGCTTTTAGGGTTTTAGGGTTTTAGGGTCCTAGGGTTTTAGGGCTTAAGGGTTTTAGGGCTTTAGAGTTCAGGGCTTAAGGATGCTTAAGGGTTTAGGGCTCAGGGCTTAAGCATGTTTAAGTGTTTGGGAAGTTCAGGTCGTGTCGTTCGCTTAAGGCTGAGGGCTGCAGGCTTGGGGAGCAACAAAAACCCTGCATCTCAAAACGCAGGGCCTCTAAAAAAAGCTCTCAAGGACGTTCAAGGGTTTTCGGGCTTCAGGGTTTGAGGTTTAGGGTTCTTTTTTGCTTTAGAGGGCAGGAAGCCAAAAAAGACACCGAAAAGCCCGAGAAAAAAAAGAAAAAACAGCACCCGCCTACTGCCCGGGGTGGGGCGAAGGTTGTTCTTAGCTACTGTCCCCTTTTGGCCACAAAGAATGTCATCATCAAGCGAGCTGGCTGAAGTCCAAAGTAGATCCAACACTTTCGGCTTAGGGTTTCAGGGTTGAGGCGTTGGGGCTGTGGTGGCTGAGGGCTGCTTAGGGGTTTTCAGCTAAGCACTGTGGATTCGGTGTTCGGAATGGCATATTCATGGACAGAAGCTACTTGCTTCCGGTGAGATGGTTTCTACGAACGAGCTCCGATCCCCTCAAAATACAACGCCAACAAGCACACCAATGCAGCTCTTTCGTCGTCATCATCTTGATTGCCATCATCATCCTCACCATTCCTTCTGTGCTCCTCCTTGTACTCATCACTAGCATCATTACTGCCAGCGTTGCCCTGTCGCTTAAACGATGTGATGTGCCCGTCAAGCCCTGAACACTACCCCCTTAAACCCTACACCCACCCAGCTCCAGTTGCTTCTGCATCATACTTCCTGGGGTACCTTGTTGGCTTGGCCTCCAGTGCGCGCCCCTGCGTCGTCTGCGCCAAGATGACCTATAGGGCATGGGCTCACTATGCTCACCCCCTAGGGGGGGCGGGGGGGGGGGGGGGGGGGGGGGGGGGGGGGGGGGGGGGGGGGGGGGGGGGGGGGGGGGGGGTGGGTGCTGTTGCACACTCATCTCAGTGCTGATGGTGCATTCGCATCCACTAGTGTTGGGGCTTCAGTCCCCGCATGGCTTCCATGGGCCCGAAGTCCTACACTCTGCGGATTTTGTAAAACGGTGGTCTCTTCAAGCGGGACTTTGGAGAGAGGGGGGATCTTCCACCCGAAGCTCAGGCTGAGCATCCTGCGAATTGGCTCAAGGCGCTGGACGCAGTTTCCATGGCATCCAAATCCCGAAATCGAGGACTGAGGCCGAATCGCCAGATGCCCTTGACGCTGGGTCCTAAACATCCGCCTAAGCCATGGCTTCCTGTGGCCTCTCCTGCGCAGTATGCCAAGAACTGGGCTCAGTGACTATGACATGACCTGTCTTGATCTGGTTTTGAGCCATGGTTCAGGCGATCAAGCCCACAAATGAACGATGCTTGGAGAGAGACAGAAGAAAAAAAAAAAAAACGTCCTTGCATGCTAGAGTTTGCAAGGATGGATACGCCAATACCACATTGTGCATGACGTTCCCCATCCCTTTTTCGAGTCTCTCAGCACGCCTTCAGCATAGCTGCTTCCCTAGTCTGTCTCGGATGCCGCTGCGAGTTCTAAGAAGCAATGATTCCCTTAAAATGGGATAGCGGCCCACTTTCAGTGGACTGAGCCTGTCTTCATCCTCAAGGGTTGAAGAAGCCGCTGATGTTGGCGAACAAGGATGCAATGCCGAAGACAGTAATTCCGATAATGTACGTGTCGGGAGTCATGTCGCCTAGTGCGCCGTCAGCGCCACCTCGTGCCTCCATCTGAACTGCTGGCGCGCGGAGCGACTTGCTTGCAGGTGCTGGAGTTGTGCCCACGAAGCAAAGCAGCGCGGAGCACCCAAGGGCCAACACCAAGAAGGCGAGCAGAGAGCTGGAGCGGGCCATTGCAAGTCTTGGGAAAGCTGGCACAGGAACAGGAGCGACCACCAACAACTTTTTTGCGGCTCAAGCTGAAAAAGGCAGCCGACCGGGCATGGGCATGCACTTAGCTGCTGCGATCAATGCGTGACTGCGTGACTGCATTACTGGCCAACACATGCCAACACCAAGTACAGCATGATGATCCGTACTCTTTTTTCGCGTCTCTCTACATGCCTGCAGCATAGCTGCTTCCCTAGTCTGTTAGGGATGCCGCTGCGAGTTCTAAGAAGCAATGATTCCCTTAAAATGGGATAGCGGCCCACTTTCAGTGGACTGAGCCTGTCTTCATCCTCAAGGGTTGAAGAAGCCGCTGATGTTGGCGAACAAGGATGCAATGCCGAAGACAGTAATTCCGATAATGTACGTGTCGGGAGTCATGTCGCCTAGTGCGCCGTCAGCGCCACCTCGTGCCTCCATCTGAACTGCTGGCGCGCGGAGCGACTTGCTTGCAGGTGCTGGAGTTGTGCCCACGAAGCAAAGCAGAGCGGAGCACCCAAGGGCCAACACCAAGAAGGCGAGCAGAGAGCTGGAGCGGGCCATTGCAAGTCTTGGGAAAGCTGGCACAGGAACAGGAGCGACCACCAACAACTTTTTGCGGCTCAAGCTGAAAGTGGCCGCCGACCCGGCATGGGCATGCACGTAGCTGCTGCGATCAATGCGTGACTGCGTGACTGCATTACTGGCCAACACATGCCAACACCAAGTACAGCATGATGATCCGTACTCTTTTTTCGCGTCTCTCTACATGCCTGCAGCATAGCTGCTTCCCTAGTCTGTCAGGGATGCCGCTGCGAGTTCTAAAAGCAATCATCCCCTTAAAATGGGGATAACGGCCCACTTTCAGTGGACTGAGCCTGTCTTCATCCTCAAGGGTTGAAGAAGCCGCTGATGTTGGCGAACAAGGATGCAATGCCGAAGACAGTGATTCCGATGATGTACGTGTCGGGAGTCATGTCACCCAGTGCGCCGTCAGCGCCACCTCGTGCCTCCATCTGAACTGCTGGCGCGCGGAGCGACTTGCTTGCAGGTGCTGGAGTTGTGCCCACGAAGCAAAGCATCGCAGAGCAGCCAAGGGCCAACACCAAGAAGGCGAGCAAAGAGCTGGAGCGGGCCATTGCAAATCTTGGGAAAGCTGGCAAAGGAGCGGGAGCGATCACCAACAACTATATGCGGCTCAGGCTGACAATGGCGCCGGCGAGCGGGCACGCCTACAGTCCTACAGCTGCTGCCATCACTGCGTGACTGCAAAATTTCTGGCCAACACCATCCAACGCTAAGTACAGCGTGATGCTCCCTATTCCTTTTTCGAGTCTCTAGGCACGCCTGCAGCATAGCTGCTTCCCTAGTCTGTTAGGGATGCCGCTCGAGTTAAAAGAAGCAATGATCCCCCTAAATGGGGTAACGGCCCACTTGCAGTGGACTGAGCCTGTCTTCATCCTCAAGGGTTGAAGAAGCCGCTGATGTTGGCGAACAAGGATGCAATGCCGAAGACAGTGATTCCGATGATGTACGTGTCGGGAGTCATGTCGCCTAGTGCGCCGTCAGCGCCACCTCGTGCCTCCATCTGAACTGCTGGCGCGCGGAGCGACTTGCTTGCAGGTGCTGGAGTTGTGCCCACGAAGCAAAGCAGCGCGGAGCACCCAAGGGCCAACACCAAGAAGGCGAGCAGAGAGCTGGAGCGGGCCATTGCAAGTCTTGGGAAAGCTGGCACAGGAACAGGAGCGACCACCAACAACTTTTTGCGGCTCAAGCTGAAAAAGGCAGCCGAGCGGGCATGGGCATGCACGTAGCTGCTGCGATCAATGCGTGACTGCGTGACTGCATTACTGGCCAACACATGCCAACACCAAGTACAGAATGATGATCCGTACTCTTTTTTCGCGTTTCTCTACATGCCTGCAGCATAGCTGCTTCCCTAGTCTGTTAGGGATGCCGCTCGAGTTAAAAGAAGCAATGATCCCCCTAAATGGGGTAACGGCCCACTTGCAGTGGACTGAGCCTGTCTTCATCCTCAAGGGTTGAAGAAGCCGCTGATGTTGGCGAACAAGGATGCAATGCCGAAGACAGTGATTCCGATGATGTACGTGTCGGGAGTCATGTCGCCTAGTGCGCCGTCAGCGCCACCTCGTGCCTCCATCTGAACTGCTGGCGCGCGGAGCGACTTGCTTGCAGGTGCTGGAGTTGTGCCCACGAAGCAAAGCAGCGCGGAGCACCCAAGGGCCAACACCAAGAAGGCGAGCAGAGAGCTGGAGCGGGCCATTGCAAGTCTTGGGAAAGCTGGCACAGGAACAGGAGCGACCACCAACAACTTTTTGCGGCTCAAGCTGAAAAAGGCAGCCGAGCGGGCATGGGCATGCACGTAGCTGCTGCGATCAATGCGTGACTGCGTGACTGCATTACTGGCCAACACATGCCAACACCAAGTACAGAATGATGATCCGTACTCTTTTTTCGCGTTTCTCTACATGCCTGCAGCATAGCTGCTTCCCTAGTCTGTTAGGGATGCCGCTCGAGTTAAAAGAAGCAATGATCCCCCTAAATGGGGTAACGGCCCACTTGCAGTGGACTGAGCCTGTCTTCATCCTCAAGGGTTGAAGAAGCCGCTGATGTTGGCGAACAAGGATGCAATGCCGAAGACAGTGATTCCGATGATGTACGTGTCGGGAGTCATGTCGCCTAGTGCGCCGTCAGCGCCACCTCGTGCCTCCATCTGAACTGCTGGCGCGCGGAGCGACTTGCTTGCAGGTGCTGGAGTTGTGCCCACGAAGCAAAGCAGCGCGGAGCACCCAAGGGCCAACACCAAGAAGGCGAGCAGAGAGCTGGAGTGGGCCATTGCAAGTCTTGGGAAAGCTGGCACAGGAACAGGAGCGACCACCAACAACTTTTTGCGGCTCAAGCTGAAAAAGGCAGCCGAACGGGCATGGGCATGCACGTAGCTGCTGCGATCAATGCGTGACTGCGTGACTGCATTACTGGCCAACACATGCCAACACCAAGTACAGAATGATGATCCGTACTCTTTTTTCGCGTTTCTCTACATGCCTGCAGCATAGCTGCTTCCCTAGTCTGTTAGGGATGCCGCTCGAGTTAAAAGAAGCAATGATCCCCCTAAATGGGGTAACGGCCCACTTGCAGTGGACTGAGCCTGTCTTCATCCTCAAGGGTTGAAGAAGCCGCTGATGTTGGCGAACAAGGATGCAATGCCGAAGACAGTGATTCCGATGATGTACGTGTCGGGAGTCATGTCGCCTAGTGCGCCGTCAGCGCCACCTCGTGCCTCCATCTGAACTGCTGGCGCGCGGAGCGACTTGCTTGCAGGTGCTGGAGTTGTGCCCACGAAGCAAAGCAGTGCGGAGCACCCAAGGGCCAACACCAAGAAGGCGAGCAGAGAGCTGGAGCGGGCCATTGCAAGTCTTGGGAAAGCTGGCACAGGAACAGGAGCGACCACCAACAACTTTTTGCGGCTCAAGCTGAAAAAGGCAGCCGAGCGGGCATGGGCATGCACGTAGCTGCTGCGATCAATGCGTGACTGCGTGACTGCATTACTGGCCAACACATGCCAACACCAAGTACAGAATGATGATCCGTACTCTTTTTTCGCGTTTCTCTACATGCCTGCAGCATAGCTGCTTCCCTAGTCTGTTAGGGATGCCGCTCGAGTTAAAAGAAGCAATGATCCCCCTAAATGGGGTAACGGCCCACTTGCAGTGGACTGAGCCTGTCTTCATCCTCAAGGGTTGAAGAAGCCGCTGATGTTGGCGAACAAGGATGCAATGCCGAAGACAGTGATTCCGATGATGTACGTGTCGGGAGTCATGTCGCCTAGTGCGCCGTCAGCGCCACCTCGTGCCTCCATCTGAACTGCTGGCGAGCGGAGCGACTTGCTTGCAGGTGCTGGAGTTGTGCCCACGAAGCAAAGCAGCGCGGAGCAGCCAAGGGCCAACACCAAGAAGGCGAGCAGAGAGCTGGAGCGGGCCATTGCAAGTCTTGGGAAAGCTGGCACAGGAACTGGAGCGACCACCAACAACTTTTGCGGCTCAAGCTGAAAGTGGCCACCGAGTGGACATGTCCGCAGCTAATTTGATCACTGCGTGATTGCATTACTGGCCAAAGCTGGCAGGGTTTACCACAAGTTGCCCTCGATCCTGCGTGCAGCCTTTTGAGGGGCTTCATGGCAAGGTAGCGAGTCTCTACTTGCAATACAAGAGCAGAAGCTTCTTCGCTCTTTTTTTATCAGCGAGGCATGCCGACGCCACCCACGCCGCACGATCACACGACAATAGACCCTGAGACTGACGCGAGCGAAGCACTTGGTGAAGCGGAAAACTGTCTTGTGCGGGCAGGATTGTGCTGGCCACGCTGCCAGCTGCCAGCTAGCTACCCTGCTCACCACTTGTCGGCCTTGCTGTAGACGTAGTTGGCCACATCCTCGATGTCATCCGGGCCGAGCTTGTCACCAAAGGCCGGCATGGCGCCGTTGCCGTTGGTCACCTGGCTCATGATGGCCTGCACGTCGTACTTGCCGTACTGCACCAAAGCCTCCTTCTTCCTGAGCCGTGCACTTTTGAACATGGCACATTCTGGGGAGTGCGGGGTCTTACTTGTGGAAGGTCTGAGGAGGCAGAAGACAAGATATGTCATCATTGAAGACATTCAACGCTTTCCGGATCTTTCCTGTGCAAAGTAGATGTTGGGCTTCGGTGTTGTTTGAGGGCGTGGGGTGGAGGGATGGGGTCTGCTTAAGTGCAGCCTGGTTTCAGCTTCTTCTCCGCCACGATGCTGTTGTTGCCGTTGGCATGGCAGGCGGTGCAGTTGCCGTTGAAGATGGCCTCGCCGTTCTCGAGGTCCGCGGCCAGAGCCGGGCGGCCGCCCACCACCGCGGCCAGCAGGCCCAAGGCAGCACCCAGGGCAAGCGGGCTGAAGGCTGCGGTTGCGGACTCGGCCTCCGGCGCCGCGGCACCGGCCGCTCGGCCAGTGGAGACCTGGGCCTCCGGGGCGCCGCGCGGCGTGCTGCCCGGCAGCACAAAGCAGCTGGCGCCCAGCAGCAGGGCGGCACCGGCGACGAAGACGGCGCGGGACATCTTCACAGGCGGATGAGGTGAGGCGAGCAACCAAAATCAAGCAATGAGCCAAAAACTTGATGGCAGGTGTCCATTGCAAGGTTACAGCGTAACAACCGTCCAATCAGAAGTGTTGTCGTAGCCAAATGGAACAATAGCCGGAATTATCTGTGAAAAGCATGTGCGCAGTTGAAAGCAACAAGCATGGTATGCCAGGGTACTCTGGATCATTCAAGACGTGAACCGCACCGTTTTGCCATGTATCCGTTACAAGGCGTCGCACCATGCCTTTTGTTCATGTGTCAGGTTGGAGTCAACTTTGCAGGAAGGAGTGGCATGGCTAGTAGAACGATATGTAAGAACTTGCTGAATGCAGCGCGCGTCTCCGATCCTCGCAAACCATTCCGCAACAGCGCGAAGAACAGGCACATCTACGAGACTTCACAAACCACAAGCCCACAGAAATCTGAGCAACTGTCGAGCACAAAAGAGTGCAACGCCATGTGAAGGATGAACAGCTAACCCTTCCATTGGTGCCACGACCCTGTGCAGAAACAGGGTTTGGGGGATGAGCTCCTCAACTTTTGGTCGCATGCGCTCGGACATCCCTGGCGATCCTGTGCCTAAAAAAGGCCATGCACAGCTTTACACGCCCCTAGCTCAACCAAGGCCCTTGCAAGAAACTCCATGCAGCACATGGTAAGCTCAGCCCTTTCATTCCACACCAGGATGCTCGAAGGTCCCATATGATGACAAAACTAAAACGAGAACTCTTGCACTATGGGATACTGTCTAAGGTCCTCGTCTACATTCGTTACAGTCATCATGGCTTAGGATACCATAAGGGAGCCATAAGCAGAACAACTTGACCCACATGCCCTAAGCACTGAAACAAAACACTGGAGTTGCTGGCTCTAACCTTTCTTGGGGCCCACGGAACCCCACTTCTAGTGCACGATTGGGATCGCACTAAAATCTAAACTGAGATTCCTTCTTGGGTTTAAGTACCCTTAAACATGCAAAACCCTAAACCCTAAACCCTAAACCCTGAACCCTAAACCCTAAACCCTAAACCCTAAACCCTAAACCCTAAACCCTAAACCCTAAACCCTAAACCCTAAACCCTAAACCCTAAACCCAACTATGACGAACACGTGTATCTACCTAGGGAACTTCAAGGGGGTCATCTGGAGAGTCTCCTGCAAGGAGCCACCGGCCCCACATCGGCAAACCATCCGACTGCTTTGTTTAGGGTTTAGGGTTTAGGGTTTAGGGTTTAGGGTTTGGGGTTTAGGGTTTAGGGTTTAGGGTTTTGGGTTTAGGGTTCAGGGTTTAGGGTTAGGGTTTAAGGTTTAAGGTTTAAGGTTTAAGGTTTAGGGACTGGGAACTGCGCTGCCGGGGACCGGGGAGGGGGGTGGGTGGTTAGAGTTGAGCTTTTTCTGGGGTGTCCTTTTCAATACAGAATCCTATACCACCCTCGCGAAAAGCCCATAACTAACCATAAACAAAGTACAGACCCAGATGTAGAACAACTCCCTAAACCCATAAACCCTAAACCTTAAACCCATAAACACGAAATCCTAAACCCATAAACCCTAAATCTGAAACCCATAAACCCTAAACCTTCAACCCATAAACACTAAATCCTAAACCCATAAACCCTAAATCTGAAACCCATAAACCCTAAACCTTAAACCCATAAACGCTAAAATAAACACTACATCCTAAACCCATAAACCCTAAACCCTAAACCCTAAACACTAAATCCTAAACCCTAAAAACCCCAAAAAACCCTAAACCCTAAACCCTAAACCCTAAACCCTAAACCCTAAACCCTACACCCTAAACCCTAAACCCTAAACCCCACCCTAAACCCGTAAACACTAAATCCTAAACCCTCAGGCTTGGATTTTGGGATGCACGGCCGTGGAGCAAGGAGCTGAAGAGCCGCGGGGGAGGGCGCAAGATGCTCTGAGCGACTTGGCTCAGTGGCTTTCAAGGCTTAGGGCTTAGGGGTTCGGGGTTTAGGGTTTAGGGTTTAGGGGTTTAGGGGGTTAGGGGTTAGGGGTTAGGGGTTTGGGGGTTAGGAGTTAGGGGTTTTGGGTTTCAGTTTCGAAGCCCACAAAAACCCAAAATCTCTAGGCGCTCAGCTCAAGAATGGGCGCCAGGGGTGCGAACCCTTGACCCCTGAGCCCTCTTAGTGCTTGGGGGAGAGTAGCCTCCGCAGCGCAATTTTTTCACAGGGTGTTTGCGCCAACCTCTTCCGCGCGCAATTTCACCGTTGCTTGTGCAGGTTCTTTTGAGACGTAGGAATACACAAGGGCTTTAGGCTGAAAGATTCTTACTTCTGACCTTCTGACCTCTGCGGGACAGGATGTTTCCAGTTTGAATTTCGGGCTGGAGCTTCTGCGGAGCTTGCGCGTGAAATCGAACCCTTCCGCACGTTTCCGCACAACGCACCGCGCTCGTTTGCGACCGCCGATGCAAACATGACTATCTACTTGACGAACAGAAAGTTCGTGCCTAATTGGTGAAGCGAGGTTGGGAAACGTACAAATCCCAAGCCCTAGGGCCCTGAACAGTAAAACCCCAGGTTTCTCCTTGAGGGGGTTCGAGTTGCAAGCTTTCGTGTTTGGGGCTCGGGGCCGACGGCTCGGCGTCATAAGCCTTATTTTGTCGCGACTTCAAACGGACATGTTCGGCAAGACAACGTCACAGGGCGCTCTCCACCACGGTAAACGACACAAAGGGAGGCAATGTTGCTCTCCGAATTCCGGATTACAAGATCCCGCAGTGATGAGCAGACAGTTCAGCCTCCATGCTCGGGGGGCTCAAGCCCCCAAACTTCCGACACCTAAACCCCCTAAACCCGAATGCCTTTCAACCCCAAAGGCCTAACACACCCCTGTCTCTTCTCGGGATCTGGCAGCTTCCGGTCATGCATGTCAACAAAGCCGCGGCTCTGATTAAGAGCGGCTTTGTGGGTTTCCAAGCGTGAGGGAGCCCCGAAAGCACCTAAACAGAAGGCTTAGGGCTTGGGGGGGGGTTTAGGGTTTCGCCCCGACCGCGCCTAAGCAGAAAGTGTCACGTCTTGATTCGTCTGAGGGCTGTTGTGATGTTGGGCCTCAGGGGTCTTTTTGTGCAGGTTTAGGGTTTAGGTTTCAGGGTTTAGGGTTTAGGGTTTAGGGTTCCTGGGAGCCGGCAGGGCCAAAGCCTCAGACCCCGGAATCATCCTAAACCCTCTGCTCCCCACCCAGGCCTAAACCGAAAAGTCCCGAAAGCTCGAAACCCAAACCTACGAGGGTCTTGGGGGTTATTATAGTATAATTACAAAGGGACCCTCACTGAGGGAATGTGATTAAATATTAGAAAATATTCCGACCCCTATACTAGGCCTTATCAGACATATCGCTGAGAAGAACCCCCGCGCGCCGTGCGTAAGCACTTTCCGGGCCCCCAGCAATCGGTGGGTCGGATGGGCGGAGAAGAGACAGACCAGGGGGGCCGCCATCAGATTGCGTGGAGGGCTTTCGGGTTCTAGGGTTTTAGGGTTTTAGGGTTCTTCGGATGGATTATAGGGTTATAGGGTTTTCGGGTCTGTGGGATTCAGGCTTGGAGCTTGGTGAGGGTAATTGCCCCGTTCAGGGCTGAGAGTCTAGCGGATGAGTATAAAGCATGAATCATACAAAGTGGGCACAGTAACCCTAAACCCCGAACCCTTCAAGGTCAGAGTCTCCCGGGCAGTTTCACCAAAGGCTAAGTTTCACAAATCCTATCCAAACCACTTGAGGCGCTTAAGGGGCTTTTGGACTTAGGGCTTCCTTATCAAAGAAAAGCCCCCTCCCCCCCCCCCGGCCCCCCCGAAAGAGTGCCACAAATCTAGCGGCAACCCTTACTTAGGGTTTAGGGCGTTTAGGGCTTCTGGGGCTTTTAGGGCTCTTAGTGTTTTTTGGGTTTGGGGGTTAGGGTTTAAGGTTTACGGTTTTCAGCGCCCTGCTTGAGGAGGCCGTCCTGTTAGTCCCTCGCTTCGGCACATCCACTGTAGCAGTTCAAAAGCAGCTGCTACTTTCCGGATCCCTTGCGCAGAGAGGTGTTTAGGGTTTAGGGTTTAGGGTTTAGGGTTTAGGGTTTAGGGTTTAGGGTTTAGGGTTTAGGGTTTAGGGTTTAGGGTTTAGGGTTTAGGGGTAGGGTTTAGGGTTTAGGGTTTAGGGTTTAGGGTTTAGGGTTTAGGGTTTAGGGTTTAGGGTTTAGGGTTTAGGGTTTAGGGTTTAGGGTTTAGGGTTTAGGGTTTAGGTGGGTCCAATACGTTAAGCCCTTAGGATTTAGGGGCTCAGGGTTCGATTCGGCCACTTCCTGCTATCATATTAGGGGTACCCCAAAATTGGGCGGGTATTCTCGTTTGGAGATCTGACCACATAGATCGCACAGAAGCAGTCGTTTGTGTGTGTGACTCAATGTCGGGTTTTTCGGAGTCTGGGTTCGCCTCAACTGCGGTCACCGTGGTCGAAAACTCCGAAGCCTCGCGGTCAGCCTTGAACCCAAACCCCTCCCCAAAGCAACCAGAACCCCGAACCCCAAGACGGAATAAGACGGATTGCCCTCCCCTGAGCTCACAACTCACAAAAGTCCCGAAAGGATGCCCCATAATACAAATAACTAAATTTTCGGACTTGGCGTTCACGGATACGCAGGTCAGAATCTTCAGCTTTCGCAGCAATACAGAGGGATCCGGCAGCGCGAGCAGCTAAACTCTGCTCCTGAATTTCACAAACTTCACAGAGGTCTCGAAACAACCTCCGTGGTCTTCATCCCTCCACTCCCCGAATACAGCTGGAGCCAAAATGCCAAAATTGCTTTTGCAGCGCCCTGAACCCTAAACCTAAAGCAACAGTGAACCCTTAGGCACTTAGGCATTCCCGATTCCCCAAAGATCCCCCAACCTCCAGCAGCCCCTTACCCCTAAACCTCAAAAACGCCGGCCTCTAAGCTCTTGTACAAGCCCGTGCATGCGTAGACCGCAAAACCCAGGCCACGAAAGGTGCCGAGAGCCGGACGCGACTACAGCAATCAGCCGGGATTCTGGGCGCCGTACCGACGCCAAGCTCGAGCTTGATGTTCGGGCAAAGGTATTATTGTAGGGTTTTGCAGCTTTGGGGTTTTATGCAAGTATGAGGACTTATAGTAAGGGGTTCCCAGCCTCTGAGGCTTTAGATTTTATGGTTTCGGCGACATGTCTTGTGAGGATTTTGAGGACCAAGGGCTGCGGGGTTCGGGTTCAGGATTTTGAGGGCCAAGGGCACTGGGGCCTTGAGCAAAGGCTGCCATTCTTCGAGACTGAGCAGGCTGATTCTTTCCACGAATTCTCATCCCACGCGGGCCTTTCCAGAGAGAGAGAGAAGCATCTTGCAGCCCGCAGCAGGTGCCCAGATACTTAACCTTAGGGTTTGGGTTTAGGGCTCAGGGTTTAGGGTTTGGGGTTTGGGGTTTGGGGTTTGGGGTTTGGGGTTAGGGTTTAGGCTGATCAGCCCTACACACTTCAAGCCCTAAAGTCAGAACGCTGAACCCTGTAAACCACTGTAGTTTGGGGCTTGGATTGTGTGCCCCACGGCCCTGAGCATTGAGAGCTTTAGGCCAACAAAATTAGCAAAGTCTGGGAGTTCAAAGCTATGGCAACAGTCCAGCGCGGAGGCCACTGGCGCAACATATGTCATCCCTACGAGTCCCGTCGACCCTTAACTACCACTCCGTAACATCTGCAGCTCCTCAACCTGGAAACCCTGGAAACCCTGAAGCCCTGCACTCAGGCCGAAGGCTTATATGAGGGTTGGGCCTACACTCTTTAACCCCGAAGCATGTTGGCAAGTGCTTGGCTACACGGCTCGGCACTGAAGATCCAAGTGGGTTTGAGAACTTAGCGTGGGGGGGTTTAGGGTTTAGGGTTTAGGGTTTAGGGTTTAGGGTTTAGGGTTTAGGGTTTAGGGTTTAGGGTTTAGGGTTTAGGGTTTAGGGTTTAGGGTTTAGGTCTAGGGTGTAGGGTTTATAGGAGCAGGGCTGCAGGCTCTCTGCAAGTCTCAACACCAAGATAAAACAAACGCTGCTCACGGCCCAGACTGCGAAACGAAAGCGGCACGGCAAGACGATCTGTTTGACACCTTCTGATTCTGGCATGTGGGGGTTTACGAAAATAGGGACCCCTAATATAGACCCCCAAACAGTAAGTTCCCCTATAATAAGGACCCCTATAAGGCAGCCCTGATATCGCAAACCACCATGTGCAGAAAAATGGCTCAGGGCCCGGAGCAGCAAAAGGAACTAAGCACTGCAAACCCGAAACACCCAACCCTTAAACCCTTAAAACCTCAGGCCCCAGGGCTCCCTAAAGCGGTCCCATGCAGACCATGCAGGGCTGGGTTGGCGGCCATCTCAGCTCTTTAGGGTTTGAGCGTCTTCAGGGTTCAGAGCTCTGCTTGGGCAAAAGGGAGATCGGATAGCACGGCCGCAGAAACGAACGAGAGCCGCAGTCCAAAGCCGTAACACAGCGACTCGCACTGCAAGCTCAGGGCATATGTACCTCAGCCGACACTCGAACGGCGGCCAAGCATGCGGCTGGTTCCACGCCCAACGTAAGCCCCAAAAGCCCCGAAGGTCCCTCAAACTAAAAGCCTGAACCTTCTTCGGCAAGAGAAAGCTAAGCCATCTGAAGCCAAAGCCTGAACCCTACTTCCACCGTAAGGGGCGCTCCGGTTGATGGCTATAAGGCTTGCGCCAAGTAAAAGCCCAAACCGAAATCCCCTCCCCCCCAAGTGCCAAACAAACAGCAAGATCCAAGACTTTACGGCACACAAGCTCTTTAACACTGAGCCCGCAGCTGCTCACAACGCCAGGAAGAAGCGGAAATCTCAGGAAAAGGCTGGAATTCCAAGCTTAGGTTGAGGGACAAATTGCCTTTGGGCTGTCGGGTTTCCATGCATCAGACTCTTCTGTTGTACTAAGCCCGATCTCTACATGGCCCGGCGAATCCTGGCATATTGACAGTAGCCGGTTTAGGGTTTAGGGTTTAGGGTTTAGGGTTTAGGGTTTAGGGTTTAGGGTTTAGGGCTTAGGGCTTAGGGCTTAGGGTTTAGGGGGCTCACGAAACCTGGGGGTTGGCTGACAGCTGTTTGTAGGTTGGTGGCCACGATGGCCGTGCTTGAGCAGCTTCTTGCATCCCAGGAGCCCTTGAACACTATGGTAACACTATGACCCTGGGGGTTTCGGGTTTAGAAGGGTTGAGGGTTTAGGGTTCAGGGTTTAGGGTTTTAGGGTTTAGGGTTTAGGGTTTAGGGTTTAGGGTTTAGGGTTTAGGCTTTAGGCTTTAGGGTTTAGGGTTTAGGGTTTAGGGTTTAGGGTTTAAGGGCGCACCTGCGCCCAAAAGCTTCAGGCTGATGCAAGACCCGGCCTCTCTCTTGGCGGGCTCCGCACGACTTCTGCGTGCGCACCGCGCCCGCATCCGACACAGTGGGGCCTTGCTCATGGTCTCTACAGCAGGGCTTCTAGACCCTCAACCCTAAACCCTCAACCCTAAACCCTAACCCTAAACCCTAAATACTAAACCCTAAACCCTGAAGTATTAAGTAGGGATCGGAACTTGAGAGACTTTAGGGGTTAAGAGCTTGTTTTTGATAGAGTTCGAACTTGGAGCGCGACTGCCTTCTCTGCGAGACGCGTAGGGTTGAGGGGGGTTTAGGGTTTGGGGCTTAGGGCTTAGGGTTTAAGGTTTAGGGCTTAGGGTGGCGATGGGTGCTGCTATTGCTGTCCAGCACGCCGCAAGCCGCAGGGCTAAGGATAGAGGCAAAGGGGCTTGGCATAGCGGCGCATCTCTCCAGTGTAAACCTCTCAGCCTCTTCCCCTGAGACACATGTATGTCTATGCCCGCAGCCCTAAACTTTCCCGACTTAAGGCAAGCCAACCCTGAACTGCTTGGAGGTTCATGGCCATAACTGGGGTTCTAAGCAGGTTAGCAACAGCTGTCATTGGCTTTTTTGGCCTTGTTCGATCTAGATATAACGCCTACCTATAGATACCCGTAAACCTAACCCCACCCCCCCGCCACCCAGACCCTACACCCTACGTATAAGAACTCTCGGCCCTAAACCCTAAACCTTACGTTGAATCACCGCAAACCCCAACCCTGAACCCCATGCCTTAAGCCCTAAACCCCAAACCCCAAACCCCAACCCCCAAAAACCCTAAACCCTAAAACCCAATCCCTAAACCCCAGACCCTAAATCCTAAACCCTAAACCCTAAACCCTAAACCCTAAACCCTAAACCCTAAACCCCCCCCACTGGGACCGCTGACTCGGGGAACCTTGTGATCCTTGAAATGGTCAATCCGTCCTGCGAGGATGAAGGCATTTTTTGGTTCCGGGTTGACGGTGTTCGGGTTTAGGGTTTAGGGTTTAGGGTTTAGGGTTTAGGGTTTCGGGTTTGGGGTTTAGGGTTTAGGGTTTGGGGTTTGGGGTTTAGGATTCAGGGTTTCGGGTTTGGGGTTTGGGGTTTAGGTTTGGGGTTGGGGTTTAGGCTGGGATGGCCCTGTGTCTGAGTGAGATCCTCTTGACCCACAAGGAACCGAACATCAAATGCTTGAAGGGTTGACCTAGTCGGAGGGGTTTAGGGCACCGCGGCCCCAAACAAAGGATCAAGGGTAACATCCTGATGGAACCGAAGCCCAACACCAGGATTCAAGCATACTGCTTGAGGCTTTCGGGTTAAGGTTCAGGGTTTCGGGCTCAGGGTTTAGGCGTTGAAAAAGAAACTGTCGTCTCGAGCCCTAGCGACCATCGGCTGCGTGATGGACATTGTTGCCTAGGTTGGCCCCTAAAGTGCCCTCTGAAACATATTCCCGACTTGAGGTGCTCTTAAAGCCAGTAAGGGTAGAGGTAGAACGACCCGATCTTCTACCTAGTCTCGCGGCTTGGCTAAGGCCGATCCCCATATCCCCAAGAGCCCAAAACCACGACACCCGGAACAAACAGGGCCGTGTCAGAATAGACAATCCATATGGGTGTCATTGCAGGAGTTTACGACATCTACCTCGAAGGATCACACAGCCCAAGTCTTGCTGCCAGTCGTAAACGCAAAGGATCACATGGCAAACCGCTATGCCCACATCTTCCTGCCAGTCGTAAATGCCTGGCGCATGCGATCGATACTTCGCCAAACCTCAGCAAATCTCAGCGGTCCGGTTCGATTCAGGGCCCCTCTAAGTTCAGTACCTTTAAAAATCGGACTGACCACCAAGTGGACCCAATTTCAATATTATGACGAACTTACCGCTACGCCTGAGGGCGGTGGCAACCCAGAAAAAGGTTTGGGACTCAGGGATGCGATTAGCACATATTAGAATTTTAGTAGGAAGAATAATCACAACAATAGCAAGTTTAATCACAACAAAAATCATAATCATACTGACAATCGCCGTAATCACACTCACTGCAATCTGAGAAAAGAAGACGGTCAGAGCGAACAGTTCTGAAGGGTAGCTTGTTTTGGGGGAGATGTCCTTTGCGGCTGAAGACGGCTTAGGGTGAGCGAACCATGGGGGGCGAAAGCATGATCCAGGACAGTAAGGGTGCACGGCCTTCCCTCGCCTCTGCACTCTAAGTCCGCAATAGGTGCCAGGCATTTCGCTTCTCTTTCTGTCTGCGCTTCTTCTCGCCTGCAAGGGGTGTGCTGCCAAGCATGTAAGCATACGGGATGAAAGCCTACTTGAAGGCAACTAGTGGGCTTATGAGTGGCTACAAGCATTATAAGGTTATGGATACAAACCCAGATGCCCTACTTGGAACTACCCCACTAAGGACCCCAATAAGGTACCCCCTAATTTCGGAAACCCCCACATCCTACCACCCTGTCCTGCATCCTACTCCTTACATCGTGCATAAGGTAGCCTGCAGCTGTAGCTGCTAACCCCCAAGCCTGCTCTCCCTCCAACTCCCGGGATACACACCTTGTCCGCAGAGATGGCAGAAGTTGCACTCAGATCCGCTGCTGCAGCCCTTGTCCTGCATCCGGAGAAAGGTTAGGCGTCGGTTGTCCAGGGCTCAAAGGTCCGGGGGTGGTGGCCTTGGCTGAGTTCCTCGTTTTAAGCAGCAACGCCTGAACTCTACTCCTCTACGCTCGGCCCTGCACCGCACAGCCCTCCTTCCAGTAGAAAGCGCACGGGTGGCACTCTCGGGCATTGTGGCCTGCGCCGGTTTCTGGAATCTAGGGGGCTTGAGAGCTTTAGTAACTACTCATCGAGGAGGGCTTGTCCCCTGCAATGGGCATTGGCTCTCAAACTTTGCCAGGCTAGTCTGTAGAGTCATAAGGCCTTCCACTGGTAGAACGAGATTAGAGTGCCTTACAGGCAAAGGCTTGACCCCCTGAACCGAAAGCAACACGTTTTAGAGAGGAAAGAGCGGTCCCAAGCCCTTAACCCGGTGTGGTTCAGTTCTTTATTCTGTGTCTCAAAGTTCGGCTCAGAAGATCGAGGGTGCCCAACATCAGGGGCCCCAAAAGCACGGATTTGAAACGCCTGCCACGGCGGCCAGGACCAAGCGGACCCCAAGAATCCCTAAAACCTCCAACCTGGACCCCTCTGCCTTCGGAGCCTAGGCTGTAGCTGGGCTGCTTCGAGTGCGAAGTCTGCTGTAGTCCTCCAGGGCTCTGACTTTGCGGCTTAGGGGTTTGGGGGGCCGAAAGGTTCAGGAGCTTCGGGCTTAGGGTTTGAGAATTTCGGGTTGCGGGTCAGAGCTGAAGGGTTCTGGAGCCATTGGAGACTTGAGCCTTGCCCGCCTCCAGATCGGCGGCTGCGGGCTTGACTCGGTCTCTTCGGAACGTTCTGTGATCGGAGACTTCGGGTTTGGAATGCTCCTCATCATAATCACGATAATGCTACAGTAACAACAAGAAGAAAAGCAAGAATTTCAAGTACGGCACATAGCAGCAGATCTTGAAGAAGGATTCTGTGTAGGATGCCCTCAGGGCAAGAACAACTGAACTAAGGGTGATGGATCAAGGCTTGGGGACAGCAGCGCCACATCAAGTGCACCCTGCGCGGTCCCGAGAACGTGAGGGCATCAGCCTCACAGAGAAAAAGGGGATGCTTTCAGGGCCTCTAGGGGTTTTAGGGTGTTGCGTTTGGGGTAGCATGGCTCCCCAATGGGCCTAGGAATCACTTGACAAGCGAGTCCCATTGTGTCGAATGGAGCAAGGGAGCCTGAGCCTGACCTAACCTTCAACAAAACGCCGGGGTCCTGCATTAAGAACTGAAGTGCTTCTCAGGTAGGATACCCCTGGCGGCGTCTGATGAAGCTTGAGCTCAGAGGTGTTTCTTCCGCACTTCGAAGACTTTTGGGCTTCGGCCTGTGAACCCTTCAAGCCCCTACACGCCAGAACATCAAAGCGTCTGAAGCCGTCAATCCCAAGATCAACCATTGGCTATTGGCGGGGGATGCCCCTGCTGCCGAGGGTCCAGTCGCAGCACCGGCGGAGCATCAAAAGCCTCCTGGCCGCAACCGTGACTCGGTGCTGGGGCAAGAGGGCCCAAAACCCCAAACCCAACCGCAAACACCCCCCGCCCGAGCCCCCACGCAAAACAAACAACGACAATTCTTCTTTGCGAATCGGAAAACCTCGATTTGGTTTATGCAGCTTGTTTTCAAACCTCCGACTCTTCGTTTTAGCAGGAAAACCCCCACTTCCTCTCCATATTCGGCAACACTCTATATTTAGTCTTTATGGCATCATGCAATAATAGGACAACCCGACTTCGTCTCCAGCCCCTTTCAACAGCAAGGACCGAACATGCAGAGGCGGAGTTGGGCCCTGTAGGCGACTTGCTTTTGTTTGCTGCGCTTGCAGGAGGCACGCTTCTTTTTCTTGCTTTGGGCATGGGGGGGGGGGGGAGGGGGGGAACTTTTTTGTTGCTCAAGGCCGACTCACTCACTCTCCTGGCTGCCCTTCTCCCCGCAAAAGCACCACGACAAGAAAGATAAGATACGGGGAACCCCAAGCAGGGGAACCCTAAACCCGGATCCCGAAACCCTGAACCTCAACCCGAGCCCTTAACCCTAAAGCCTAAACCCTGAACCGAGAACGCCCCCGCTTTAACTCCCTGCCAAGCCCTTCCTTGGGAGGCTCATCAGGCACCTCCTGGGATGGAGATTCGCTCTTCGTTGCGTAGGTTTGGTCGAGGGGTTTGGGGTTTAGGGTTTAGGGTTTAGGGTTTAGGGTTTAGGGTTTAGGGTTTAGGGTTTAGGGTTTAGGGTTTAGGGTTTAGGGTTTAGGGTTTAGGGTTTAGGGCTTGGGAGTTTAGGAGTTCAGGCTTGGGGGTCAAGGGGTTAAGAGGTTCAGGGGCGCGAAGGTTTAGGAGTTTAAGGGTTAAGGGGTTTGAGGCTTCAGCAGTGTAACTGTCAAGCATCCCAAAAGTTGCGTTTGACCAAGGCATTCTGATGAAGCCATGGATGAAAGGTAGAATTCTTCCAAGCTTGGTACCCAGATTTCCCCGGGCCTCCGATATAGGGGCCGGGAGAATTACTAACAGTACTCCTCATGGTCCCTATAATTATACTCCATAAATCATAGCATAGAAGGATGGGAGCTTGGGTTTACAGTTCCTGGGGTCTCAGGGCAAGCAGAGGGAATTCTCCCAGGTTTCCATACCAGGCTTCTCAAACTCGAGCTCCGTTTGAGGGGGGGAGGGGGGGGTTCTACCTCGGGAAAGCAAAGAAGGAGCCCCCCTAAGTTTGCTCGCACCCCACATTGTGGTTGGGGCCCGGGATGACCTGCCTCGATTTTGCTCCCCGGCGCTGACCGGATGAGCCGCTCGGTGAAGAAGCCGTCGAGCGACGGCGGGCGGCCTAAGCAGATCGCGTATATGGAGTCCAGCAAAAGCGGGAATCGAGGTTTAGGGCTTCAGGCTTTAGGCTTTGCGTTCTAGGGCGCCCCACCCAGGATATAAAGACATTCGTTGGGTGCCAGGGAGGAGTTTTGCGGTTCTAGGGTTGGGATCGAAGCACGCAAGGTCTTTAAGTAAGAGCGGTGCCCTCAACACGGACCTTGTCCCACCATGGACAAAGCAGACAAGCTTTGACGCGGGTGTCGGTGGTGCAGCCCTTAGGGGGACGCCGAGAGTCCCCAACCCGAACTCCGAACCTAGATCGAAACCTCGAGGCTTGTTTGTACTAGCTCCAGTACAAGAACACCTTGTTTCCCCGCAGGAGCCGCGCCGATGTCAAGATCGATGAAGGTGTTCTTCACCGGCAGGTTCTGGGCGGCAGGCTTCAGGGACTATGCAGTTTTCCTGCAGTCCAAGGGGGCCCGGAGCCTCCAAAGCGCACAAAACCCCGAAAACCCACGAAGAACTCCTCTCAATCTTCTCTGAATTTCCCAACCTAAGCCAAAAGTCATGGCTTGGAGCGGTCAGAGATTGCAAGGTCTTGCAATAGGACATTGGGGGGGGGCTTGGGTTTAGGTGTTTGGCGTTGGGTTAAGGCTGTGGGCTGTGGGGTTTCAGGTCTTTCGGGTGCAGAGCTCAACTGAAAAGCAGAAGGGAACAGGCTTCAGAGTGCACCAGCTGGGCTCCTAAACCCCAAACCCTAAACCCTAAACCCTAAACCCTAAACCCTAAACCCTAAACCCTAAACCCTAAACCCTAAACCCTAAACCCTAAACCCTATACCCCAACCCCAAACCCCAAACCCTAGACCGATCAAGCCGGGTTCCGCGCATTGTTGTTCGAGTCTGCCGTACTCACGGAGGAGATTGTCGGTACCCGCCTTGTGACGGCTTGAACTGCTCTCCGGACACCTACTATCGGGGCCTTAATATAAGTACAGTAGGGTTTTGGGGGCTCATTACAGTAGAGCTATAAAGGGACCATCAGGGAATAATATTGGGGCCTTAATAAGTAGAACAGGGTTTGGGGGGGGTTATTGTAGTATAATGATAAAGGGACCACAAGGAAAAATACTAGTAACTATTCCGACCCCTATACTCCCAGCATTGGCCCCTCTTTGAGAGGGTTCCAGGCTTAGGGCTCGCGGCCTTCAAAAATCGTGGGTTTAGGGTTTAGGGTTTAGGGTTTAGGGTTCAGGGTTCAGGGTTTAGGGTTCAGGGTTTAGGGGTTAGGGGTTAGGGGTTTAGGCTTTAGGGTGCCTCGGAACCCTACCCCCAGGCAATTCAAGTCTCCTGATAAGAAGGCAACCTTTTGGAATAGAACCTCTACATAAAACAGTCGCTTGAGAAAACTCGAAGAAGGGAAGGTGTCATTGAGGGATCATCAAGTGCCAGGGGCTAGGGCTGAAACAGGGCGACCTGCGCATCCTTCAAAAACAGGGGTGGACAACCCTCAACCCTGAACCCCACACCCTGAACATGAAGTATTGGGTCGGCTGCACGGCTCTACGGCTGTTAAGTTCAGACCTTCAGGTTCAACCCTCGTGTACCCGAAACAAAAGACTCCTCGCCTCCTAAAAGCCCTGTCAGGGCCTAGGCTTGAGAAGCTCTACGCCGTGCTATATCGCCGGGGTCTAGGGTTTAGGGTTTAGGGTACGGGGGGCAACCGAAGGAGGACAGGGAACAAAACAGTCAGCCCCAACAGAAGCCCTTGATTCCCCTGGAACAACCGAAGACAAAACCCAAAGCACAACCAAACACACCTTTTCCGTAGGGCGCATTGCCCACGTTTCTTGAGCCAAAAATATCCGGGTTCATTGACCCCTTCAACTCCCATTACCAACTCTTTTCTACAATACCAGTTGCAGCTCCGCACTCCCCCTGTCCTAGGATTTCCTAGGACACATTGGAGATGCCGTTCTTTGGCCAAAAACCGCCATTTAGGCAGCAGCCAGCTGCTTGAAATGCACATTATGGTTTAACGTCATCCAGGACGAACCTTCAGCTCATTGGCTGAATCCTTAACCATTGAGGATTTCTTCACCTCGTACTTGGAAAATTCACGTTCCAGCGGCCCGTTCCTCACCAAGGAACTCAGCATTCACCACCCAGCCATCCTTGAGGCAATGCTTACAAAGCGTCTTAGCCCTGGGCTGTGAATATCGCAGAACATCACAGTCACTGCTTGCGTGCATACAGTTCCCACCCACTGTTGTATACAAAGTGGCACTCGCAGGAATAACCACCGCTTTCTTGATCCACAGCCATTTATACAGCCGTCGAAAGAGGCACCATGCCAGTTCCCAGAGTATAATTGCTGCCACCAAACACGCAACAAGGTCTGAATTGTTGACAACCATTTCAATACCTTGAGCCAGAACCATCACCGTAGACGTGTTGGCGACCTTGCACACCCCTTCTTCTGAGCAAAAGAATCCAGCCGTGGACACTTCTTCGCCACCAGTTGCCATCCCTTGCAGAGATGCAGCCACCATCATGACCGCCATTGCAAGCGAGGCTTTTTTCAAGTCAGTTCCTTGAACCAACAGTCTGAGACCCCAAAGTGCCTTTTGCTTTGCGTACACCTGTCCACTCATTAACTTAGTCAACAGGTCAGCGATCATATACTCACCGCGAAGGTGCGCTATCACCATATAACCACGGTCCACCAGAGACCTGACACCGGCTGCTCGAATTCTCAGGTGTCTTGTTCTCCAGCTTCCAGCAGGATATTGAATGATCGAGCACGTTGAAACCGAATCTGTATACAGCACTTTTTGCAGCGATTCTTCACCTGTTCCAACCAAAGCGGCAATTATAGGGGTGCACGACTGAATCATCGTTGCTCCCTCTATGGACGCATGTAATTCAGCTTCAGCTGTACTTAAAGCCACCGTTGATTGTCTTTGTGTTGCCCACATCACTGGACAGTCACCCCACACCACCACCGCTCCTGAGTGGCTCTTTTCATTTTCACCTGCTGCAAAGCTGGCATCCGCGTAGGACTCCACCACCTTAACACCTCGTCCATAACGCAACACCTCATTCCTTTCTTTTTCGCATGTTGCGATTGCTCCGAACGTCAAGCCTAACGTTGGAGTTGCAGCAAGGTATCGGAAAACTTCCTCAGCCTTTTTAACCACAAATCGTGGCCTTCGGGATGTCCACAAAGACAACTGGCTCGTGCAGAACGCCAAATCAGGTCGAGTTTTGATTGCCACCCAGAGGAACTCCCCTACGGCACCTTGAGCCGCTCGCAAGGAAGGAATATCCACCTCCTCTTCTTCACCTGGAGTTTCTTTCACCATTGGCAGGTTACTCCCTTTTCCAGTTTCATCGATCTGATACCCTCGTCGGTTCAGCAAATCTCTCACAAAGTCCTCCTGGTTGAGAAAGAAGCTGCCATTTCGATACCAGATTTGGACACCCAAAAACTTCAGGAATCCATCACCGCAGCCTGGACCACAGAACTCGGGTTCAGAAGTTTTCCACTCCTTCCTAATCTGTTCCAAGGCCTCCCGGAGCACTGTCATAGTCCCAGCCATCAAAAAATCATCCACGTAAAGACCCATTGTCCCTACCAACTTGCTTGCACCTTCCGGCTTTTCTTGTGCCATAATAAGGAACAGACTTGGGTCTGCATTGGACCTCTGAAAGCTCATTGCTTGTCCATCCTTTGACACCCAAGACATACCTTGAAGACGTTGGTCTCGCCACTCCACCCATGCTGCAGGACTTTCGGCCAAACCGTACAAGGCCTTTCTCACAATCCACCGCTCCTCCTTTGCGCAAAGACCCAATTTCACCGCCGCCCTTGGGGGCTGCACCACCACCAAACGCCCTTCTCTTTGCGCCCTATTCATCGGCGCCGTCAGAAAAGCTTTGGAAATGTCTAAGCCAGCGATGATCCATACCATATATGCTGCGTGCCTCACTTGACACCTGAATGTAGTTGAATCTAAGCCTGGAGCGTGCAGCGAGTGACGACTGAGTGACCTCGGCCCTTCATATTCTGTAGCTGCCGTTGACGAAATGAAGTTTCCACATGCACAGATACGGGCACGTCGCCTCCCTGTCCCTTGCTTCCGGGTAAACACCACCAGACTGGGAACGTACTCAATCACCGGTGCATTAGGCTCTTCCGCCAATTTGTCCAGCTTTTCTTGAGTTGTTGGTTCCACCACCTCCAACTCTTTCACCAAAGACGTCACCTCGTCTGACAATGATTCCCTCCACTTTTCCAGTTCTTGCATGGCTTCTTGTGTAGGGATTGTTTTTGTTTGCAGGAACTCAACCTCCTCCGCTGCCTCAAGCGCGGTATTTTCTTGTACCATTTGCTGAACTTGAGCTGCTTTGACCAAAAACTTCGATAGCTGTTCCTCAGCCCTTTTTGCTTTAACCAGCCATTCTCTAGTCTCTGATCCTTTTTCTTCACTCGACTCATTGGCCGATCCATGGAACTCGTCCAAGATGCAACATTCCTGTTCAGCAATTAGGCGTCGAATACTCAAATGCTCTTCTAGAGCCCATTGATGCGCTTCGAACACAGCGTAGTCGACTTCTTCTGCAAGGTCGTCCAGCGAGGTCTCTTTCAACGTCATTTTTAACCACTTCCTTTTTTCACCTTCTTCAGCCTGTGGTTCCGGAAGAGGAAACTTGCATTGGAGAAGATAGCACCTATCCTTGTAGCTCAAACGCTCCATAAAAACAGGTGTGTACCCTGTCAAGGATACCCTGTTCCCTTTCCAAGGCATAGGACCATGCAGCTTTCTCGGAAAGAACGACATGAAGTTCCAGTGGATATCCACCAATTTTCCAGGTAAGACTTTCTTCCCATAGGATTGCTCCACCACTTCAGCTCCTTCCTCTAAGACCTTTTCATCCTCAACCCACAGCTGACCATCTTTATAGTCACCAAAGCCACACACATAATTGCAGCAATGCTTTTCATTGTGACTATCCCTATGCAATGACACCGGAGCATTGCATGAGATCTGAAGAGCAGAAAATTTGGCTTCAGGATTGTGGTGCCTCACGAATGATGCCAAATAACGACATAGCCATGGTCTTCGATGAGTCTCTTTTGTGATACCACACACTCCGCCATGAGTATAGTGGCCCAACACCAGAGCTCGCGTACTTGCGCACCAATTGTTGATACCACCTCTTCGATTCACCCTCTTTGGGTATACAATCCCTTCCAAAAGCTCCTCGCAGTCCACGTAATCATACATAGACCTTTCATACATTGACTTGGCTTTTTGCTCTTCTTTTTCCAACTGTGTTCCATCCCCAGCAGTCTCACTTTTGCAGACCAAATAAGCATTTTCATGAGGAGAACAGCAAGTCGGCCAATACTCATCACCAGGAACATTGTCCTCAACATCTGCATTTTCTTCCAGCTCCCCCAGACCCTGCATGTCATCCTCGAAAATTTCTAAGGGCGGACTCTCCCCCCGCTTGCGAAGCAAGCGCAAGGAGCCCACATGACCACGCAGTGAAGAGGCCGGGCTTTTCTCCATCAACCGATGGCGAACTGGAGGATCGCGAGGCGGAGGTAAAGGAGGTCCTTCCTCATCAGCAAACCGAAGCGCCGGTTTTTTCCCCTTGAGACGATGCTCTGGAGGAGAAGGCTCCTGTTCTTCTACCACCCCTTCCAGCTCCAATTCAGGCGGTTCCTTTATATTGGAAAAAATCGTAGTGCAGGGAAATAACACCAGTTCATCCGGATCTTTTGCAGTCCCTTGAGCTTCCACCCAATAACCACCAGGTAGGTCATCGCATGGACCCAAAAGAAGCGCAGGCTGCGTACGATCGACCCATTGCCGACCTTTCTTTGTTCCATCCGGACCCAGCAACTCCCACGGACGACGTTTGACTT